ATTGGCCAATTTTTGTAATGAGCTACTTATAAATGGACATAGCTGGTAATTTCCCGAAAAAAAAAAGAACCAAGAGAGAAAAAAGAGGATATCCATTTCATGATTTCTAATCTTTTTCCTTGTTGAGTTCTCTTCTTTTTCCTTTTCTATTATATTTTTCTTTTATATTTTTTAAAATAAACGAAACATTCTTATAACATAACTTAACTAAAAAAAAACTAAACGGGTGGCATCTACATCCTTTAAATGATACATCGTCATTTTTATCACTGTATTACGTTAGTATGATTTCTTATATTTTATAACTCAAATGCTAATTTCTTTTTTTCTTTTTTTTACAAATTATTTTTGTCAAAACTTTTATGTATGGTGTCAAGAGTCATGAAGACATGGTAGAATAATGAAAAGGTACTTGATTAGTAAAGATCAATTTCTTTTTATTAGACTTATGACACGAATCATTTAGTCATATTTTGATTTTCTAATGAATGCGAAGCACATACAAATTCTTATGAACAAAATTTAAACAAGAAGGGACGCAAACAACAGCTAAACAAGAAAGAAAGGTGAGAGAACTTCGTTACACATCTTCTTCTCTTTTTTTAAAAAAAAATAAAATGAGATATTAACTTCATTAGTACGTTATACTGTTTCTGTATAAATTTCATAAATGGTCATATAATTACAATTTTTTTTTTACTAAAGTCATGTAACTTTATATTCTCGCACAAAAACTATAAAACTTATTTAACTCACACAAAAATCATAATAACCAAAAATGCAACTTTTCAATAGTACTTTCTTATTTCACGATTTTTTATTTTTTATTTTTAGTCTAATAAGTAATAATCCAATTAAAATAGGAATGACCCAACCCTACCTATATGTAGATAAATAAAAATAATACTAAAAGTGAATCCTTCAAAACACAATAGTTTTCTCTTATTTTTATTTTTAAGACTTTCATTCAAATTGATAGCATTTTTATTTCACCAGAATAAAATAAAAGATAAACACGGAATAAGGAAATATGTCACGACCCAAATCTACCATGTCGTGATGATGTGGAACTAGGCAAGCCGACTCATTTATCAAAACAACCCGATATTTCAAAGTAAATATTTCTTTAAGCAATTTAATTAATAAAACTTCATAAGATAAATCTAAATAATAAAGTGCGGAAGAAAAATCCGACATCGGGGTGTCACTAGTCATGAGCATCTACTAAGAACTGTCCAATAAAAATTAAGATTTATACAGTCTGGGAAAAAATAACTAATAATATCTAAAGGAAGATAGGAGGGAGAAGAGAAGGGCTGCGATCGTCATGCAGCTACCTTGCTAACTCCACAGATTCGCGACGGATGAAAATCAACAACCGCTAGCATGTCCAGCAACCCTTGGATCTGCACACAAGGTGCATGGAGTAATGTGAGTACGCCAACTCAGTAAGTAATAAAGGTAAATAAAGACTGAGCAGTAGAGAACACATAAAGTCCACATCATAAAATCTCAGTAAGTACAACATGCTTTCAAATCAGTATTTGAGTCAAATCATCTCGTTAAAAATTCAGTTTTCGCTTAAAATTATTTGAAAATATTTCTCAGCAATTTCAACAGGGGGATCAATGCAAAAGAGAGTAAAAGTGATGAAAATCATAAACAGCCCCTCGGGCGAACATCGCTCGTATACAGCCCCTCGGGCAACATAAATCACAAATCGCCCCTCGGGAATAACATCACTCAGAATCAGCCCCTGGGGAAAACCTCACAGTCAATCGTATACAGCCCCTCGGGCATATCATATATCACTCACTCAGGGTACATGTGCTCACTGGGGGTGTGCATACTCCGGAGGGGCTCCTACAGCCCAAGCACTATAACAAGTCACCTCGTGGCATAAATCAATCAGGCCCTCGATCTCTCATAATCATAAATCAGTATCAACATGTTGGGGCGCGTAGCCCGATCACATAATATCCTCACAAGAATAAGCCATCGGCCTCACTCAACCATAAACCTCTCAAGCTACTCGGCCTATCAGTAAAAATAGGGTGCTCAGCCCAAAATATTATTTTATGCATCAAAATGAGGTAATAAAAACTGAGTTATAAAGTCAGTAAACACAACATGGCTGAGAATAGATCTTAAATCAAAACAGTGAGAGGATAATAAGAAAAGGCCCCTAAGGGTCCAACAACTTCGGTGCAAGGCCCAAATATGGCATTCAGCCCAATTTATAATAATTCTTTCTAAAACACATAAGAATCATTTAGTTTTTAGTCAAATAAGCAACTTTATAGTTGTTACGGGACGAAACAAGTCACAATCCCCAACGAAGCCCGCACGCTCGTCACCTAGCGTGTGCGTCACCTCAAAGAAGTAAAACGATGTACAATCCGGGGTTTCATACCTTCAGGACTAGATTTATAATAATTACTTACCTCAAATCGATCAACTCCCTACTCTGCGATGCCCTTGCCTCTAGAATCGGCCTCCAAACGTCCCGTATCTAACCAAAAATAATACAATGCAATCAATATAGGCCAAGGAACCAATTCCATACGAAAAACTAATAATTTAGACCAAAATTCCGAAATTCACCCAAACTAGGCACTCGGCCCCACATCTCGGAATCTGACAAAAATTACAAAACTAGAAAGCTCTTTCACTCACGAGTCTATCCATACTAAATTCATCAAAATCCGATAACAAATGGTCTCTCAAATTCCCAAATCAAACTCTCCAATTTCCAAGCCCTAACCCCTCAATTTCATCCCTAATTTCTACTAATTACATGTTTAAACAACTAAAAATTACCATAATCACGAGTATTGAGCTCAAGTAACTTACCTCAATGTAAACCCCCTTGATTTCCTCTTCAAAACCCTCCAAAAGCTCCAAGTCCGAACAAGAATGGTGGAAAATAACCCAAATTTCGCGAAGTCTCCAATTTATAGGTTCTGGCCAGCAAAACCACATCTGCGGTCTCATTTACGGGACGACTTCTACGAAACCTCTCTGCTTATGTGGAATTTCATTAAAAGACCACTTCCGCTTCTGCGATTGCCTGACCGCATCCGCGGTCATCGCAGATGCGGGGACCAAGCCGCACCTGCAATCCCAGCTGTGCACCTGCGCCTCAATCCCGCTTCTGCGGACCTCGCACATGCGGTTCCCACTCCGCAGGTGCGGTTAAGACAGAATCAGCAGCTTCAGCTGCATTACCAAATCTCCAAACTCTCCGATAACCATCCGAAATCATCCCGAGGTCCTCGGGACCTCAACCAAAAATACCAGCAAGTCATATGTCAATATACAAACTTAGTCGAACCTTCGGAACACTCAAAACAATATCAAAACACCGAATTTCCCTCGGATTCAAGCCTAAGAACTTCTAAACTTCTGAATTCCACAAACGATGCCGAAACCTATCAAACCTCGTCCGAATGACCTGAAATTTTGCACACACTTCACAAATGATACTACGAGCGTACTCCAACTTCCAGAATTCCATTCCGACCCCGATATCAAAATTTCCACTGCCGACCGAGAATCGCCAAATTTCCAATTTTGCCAATTCAAGCATAATATTACCACAGACCTCAAAATTATATTTCGGACACGTTCCCAAGTCCAAAATCACCTAACTGAGCTAAACCATCAGAATTCACATCCGAGATCATTTACCCATAAGTCAACATCTGATTGACTTTTCTAACTTAAACCTCCAGACTAAGTGTCTTCTTCCACACCGAAACCACTTCGGACCCAAACTAACCAACATGATACGATGAAATACAGCTGAGGAACACATAAGGAAGCAGAAATGGGGGAAACGGGACTATAACTCGTAAAACGGCCGGCCAGATTGTTACAAAATACTACTGAAAATTTGTGTTTTCCAGCCATTATGATTTTTGTGTGAGTTAGTAAAAGTTTTATGATTTTTGTGTGAAAAAATAAAATTATATGGCTTAGGTGACAAAAAGTCATAGTCATATTGACCATTTGTGAAAGTTACCCCACCTTTTTCTATAAAAGGAACATTGATTTTATTGATTGGTTGTTCCTCGAGAACTCTGACATACAAAAAGGTATACAATGCTTTTATTTGCTTCTTTTTTTTTTGGCTATGAGAATGCGATGTAAAACAAAAGTAAAAGAGTACCTCTAGCATTCTAGCTTACTACGAAGGTCTTGAATTGAAAATTATGAGTATATGCATTAAATTCAATACAGATGAATGAATCTAGATCGATTAATTCTTTAATTTTATTTGTTTATGTAATATTTTGTTAACTTAAGTTGCAATACAAGGCTAAATTAATGATTTGTATGTAACACATGTAGATAAAATGAGGTCTTGAAGAAGGGATGAGCTCATAAATTTTGACTTAATAAGGAACTCTATACTCTCATAGACATGACATGTAACCAAGATTAAAGATTAATTGCACTTGAGCATTAGCTTTATCCTCCCGTGATTGATTTATCCCCTCCATGCATGTGTTCATCAAAATGTTTCAGGATCAAAAGATAGAACTAAAAATAAGTGATATTGCTTTCACTAATACATAAAATATAGTATTTCAAATAGCGTAGAGTGTACTTCTTAAGTCTCAATTTGTTTGGTACCCTTTGGTTTATTTGTTACTGAAGAATATCTTTCAATAATCTCATGTGATTAATTCAAAGTCTAATAAAAATAGCTTGGAATACATACACTAGTTATACTAAAAGTAAAAAGATCATATTTGCAAAGTTAATTTACAAAAATATCCTTTAAATTTTAAGTGACCATTTTGTCCTTAAAAAGTACCTTCCATTAAGTAATTTCTATCTTTTTACCCTTCAAGCAATTAATATACATGTAACATTTTTGTACAAAAATATAAATTTAGGGATATCAAAAAAAAAAGAAAAACCTAAGTATAAATTAAGTCCCGCAAACTTGATTCACAAATAACTTCATTCACAATGGAAGTAGGAGAGGCTTGGGGCGGCGGGCAGAGGCAATGGCCAGTTGTCTATGTTCATGGTTCTAAATCTGACGCTAGGCAGCTTGCGTGGTGTTGCGTGGATGTTGGGTCGATGCTGACAGAGTCGATGATGACAAAGGTAGCAAATGGCGATATTCTCCAAGGTAAAACTCTTAAACGATGGCGAAGAAAAATGAGGAAGCAGCAGTTCATGTCTAGGGTTAAAATTTCTACTGTTGCGGCGCTCCCATATGATACTCGTGGAGGATACACCATTATTGGTGAAGACATCTATTGGTATGGTGCTTTCTTTACTTCTGGTCACAAAAACACTATGAGATTTCTTAAACATAACACCAAATTAGTTGAAGCTAATCATTCTGTCTGGGAAGAGTTATCTCGCTCCACTGATTTTACCAATTCCAGAGTATTGGTCCTTTCCGCTGCTAGAAAGATTTGTGTTTTCTTCGTCCTAGAGGTTAAAAACAGAATCTTAACCCTCCGTGGTAAGATTTACCACCTTCACGACCATACTTGGGATAACCTGGAATGCCATACTACCTTTGATTATGTTATTGTCAAAAGTTGGCCATTAGAGAGAGCTTTGACGTGAAGAAGAAGAAGACAGTGTTTGGGAATTTTCCAACTGTTTATTCACGGTAGCAACTAACCGATATATACAATCATATAGAATAATAACTATTACCTCTCTAAGTTCTAACATTTACACTTTGGTCCTAACTAATTAGATTAACTAACTAATTAGTCTACGTCTTCCAATACTCCCCTCAATCGGGTGGATGGAGAATGTTCAAGGCACCTAGCTTGCTAAGTAAAAAATGATGTTGTCCTGAAGGTAGGCCCTTTGGTGAGAAGATCAGCTTGCTGATCCTCAGAGGTGACATATTGAGTAGTAAGCAAGCCTTCTTTGGTGTGCTCTCGAATGAAATGGAAATCGATCTCAATGTGTTTCGTGCGTTCGTGGAAGATAGGATTGGCAGCTATTTGCATTGCTGCCTTGCTGTCACAAAATAATGAGATTGGTCGAACAATGGAGACTCCTAATTCTGAGAACAAACCCAGTAGCCATACAATTTCAGAAACTGCTGATGCCATGCTACGATACTCTGCTTCTGCACTACTCCTTGACACTGTGTGCTTCTTTTTTGACTTCCATGATATTAAAGAGTTACCAAACTTGACTGCATAGCCACTAGATCTTCTTGTCATTGGACATGCTGCCCAATCCGAGCCGCAAAAAGCAGTTAATGTATTTGCCTCTCCTCTCTTTAACAAAATACCCATGCCTGGTGCAGACTTGAGATACGTCACTACCCTAAGAGCAGCATCCATACGGGATTTCTTAGGTAGTTGCAAAAACTGGCTTAGACTCTGCACTGCATAGCTGATATCAGGCATAGTAACAGTAAGATAGAGATGTTTCCCTATCAATCTTTGATAGCTAGTGACATCTGCTAAGGGGTCTGCTTCCTTAAGTCCAACAGCTCCATCATATTCAACTGTTGTGAGCTTCTGATTAATCTCAAGAGGTGTTACAGCTAGTTTAGCACCACTCAAACCTAGCTCAGAGATAAGTTCCAAAGAGTACTTTCTTTGGTTTAGTAAGATCCCATGTTTAGACCTCAGAACTTCAATGCCCAAAAAATATTTCAATTCTCCCCAAGTCTTTAAGTTTGAACTGCTGGTGTAGAGCTTCCTTAGCTTCATCAATCAACTTTTTATTGCTCCCAGTCAATAATAAATCATCCACATAGATAAGAATGATCACAATATCTGTTCCTGTCTTCTTGGTGAACATAGAGTAATCAAAAATACTTTGTACAAAACCTGCACTCACCAAGGCTTCTGTGAGTTTCAGATTCCATTGTCCGGAGGCCTGTCTGAGACCATATAGGGAATTTAACAGTTTGCATACCTTCTGCTCCCCTTGCCTTTGAAATCCCTGTGGTAAGTCCATATACACTTCTTCAAACAAATCACCTTGGAGAAAGGCATTAAACACATCCATCTAGTATAAAGTCCAATCTTTTGAGGCTGCCATGGCTATCACAGACCTAACTATCACCATTTTTGCTACTGGTGAAAAAGTCTCATGATAGTCTAATCCCTCCTGTTGATTGTATCCTTTATCCACCAATCGAGCTTTGAACCTCTTAATTTCTCCATCAGCTTTATATTTTATTTTATAGACCCACTTAGAGCTAATAGAAGTTTTTCCAGGGGGTAAATCTACTACTTCCCATGTTTTGTTGTCCTCTAGAGCCTGCACCTCCTGTTGCGTAGCAGTAATCCACCTCTCATGTTTGACAGCTTCCTTGAAGGTATAAGGTTCTCTTAACACTGAGAAGACAGAAACATAACTCTTGTACTTAGGAGACATTTTTTCATATGACAAGAAATGAGATATTGGGTAATTGCATTGTGATGATTTCTGAAGTTGCACCATATAATCCTTCTGCCATATAGGAGGATGTTTCACTCTTTGAGATTGTCTTCCAGGTATAGACTGTCCATCAGGTATATTGCTTGATTCACCATTTGGAGCAACAAGATGTAGAACAGCAATGTTCTCTAACTGAACATGATCAGTGTGAGCTTCTGCATCATGAATATTCATCACTGACTCCTCTGCATCATGTTCATCTGCAGCAGGTTCATTTATCTCCTCCATGTTTAAGCATGTCCAATATCTGCATCTTGATGATCTATGACTGGTTCAGCTGGAATAGAACATCTTGGTCCTTCATCCATAACTGTTGGTCCAATTGCTTCAGAAGTTGGTAGATCAAGCTGCAAAAAACTGGCTTCTAGGTTGTCCTGTGGGTTAGAATGTAATTGCATATCCCTGAATGGAAATTCAGACTCCCTGAAGGATACATCCCTGCTAACAAAGAAACATTTAGTGGTTAAATCATATAACCTATATCCTTTATTGGTGGTGGAATATCCCATGTGTACAGCTTTTCTAGCTCTAGCGGCAAATTTGTCCTCTATCACTAGGTTAGTTGCATAAGATAAACATCCAAAGACTCTTAGATGAACTATGGAGGGTTCTCTACCATGCAGCATAGCAAAAGGGCTCTTTCCATCTAAGATCTTAGAAGGTAGTCTGTTTATGATGTATACTGCTGTTTGTACACACTCCCCCCAAAAAAGGCTTGGAACATTACTCTGAAATCTTAATGCTCTAGCAGTGTTAAGTATGTGTCTATGTTTACTCTCAACTACCCCATTCTGTTGAGGGGTATAGACACAACTACTTTGATGAACAATACCTTGTGATCTCAACAGATCATCCCACTGTTTGTTAAAGAACTCTATCCCATTATCCGTTCTTAAAATCTTAACACAAGTATCAAACTGTGTTTTAACCATGCATAAAAATTGCTTCAAAAAAATGATAGTTTCATTCTTAAATTGCATCAAAAAAATCCAAGTAGCCCTTGAGAAGTCATCAATAACTGTAAGGAAATAGTGCTTCCTGTCATGAGTTGCCTTCTTGTATGGTCCCCAAACATCCATGTGAACAAGTTCAAAAGTCTATTACTCCTTTTTTTCACTATCTGGGAAGCTTAGTCTACACTGTTTAGCCAAGGGGCAAACAGTACATATATTTTGTATCTCACTATCTACTTTATTATGCAAGAAAGGAACATTCTGCATTATAGGAATAGAGGCATGCCCAAGTCTCATTTGCCACAGATCCCCTGTATCTCCAGCTGTGACCTTCATACCAACATGAGCTGCTAATCGTCTGATTCCTCTTCCCTTTAGCACATACAATCCTTCATCTTCCTTACCAATCGCCTTCACCCTGCCATTGTAAAGATCCTGAAACACACATAGTTCAGGTAAAAATATGACAGCACAACTTAGATCTCTGGTTAATTTGGACACTGACATTAGGTTGAACTTAAAATCAGGCACATGAAGCACATTTTTCAGCTTATCAAAAGCTGACAGAAAAGAGCTCCCAGTATGTTCTATTTTTGCACAACCTCCATTTGGCAGTGTAACCTTTTCCTTTTCCTTATCAGTTATTTTACTCACATCACTCATCAAGTCTAATGTGGAAAATATGTGGTGTATGGCTCCTGAATCCACAATCCATATATCTTTCAGTTCATTCATAGCTTCTGCATTAGAGGATAGTGCAATCCATCTGTCTCTCAGTTTATTCAAAGCTTCTACACTAGAGGATAGTGCAGTAACTTTACCTGCATTATTAGCCTGAGTTGTAGCTTCACTTGGTGAGTCTTTGTTGTTGAGTAATCCCAGAATTTGGTGATATTGAGCCTCTGTGAAGAAGTAGTCTCCCTTAGACTGTGTTGTTTCTTGTGAAGTTTGAGTTGTTGATCCTGATCCCCCTACATGGTTAGCTGCATTAAGTGTTCCTCTAGGTTGAAAAGGTCTTCTTCCCTTAAAATCTTCAGGGTACCCAATGATTTTAAAACAATTTTCCTTTATGTGGCCTTTCATACGACAATGGTCACATTGCAGAAATTGTTTCTTCCCTCTGTATCCCTGTCCTCTACCAGCTTGCATAGCTAGTGGATCTCCTTTATCAGCCACATAAACACTTCCCATTGATTGCTGACTTTCATCTTGAATGATTAGTACATATGCTTGATTAAGAGTTGGTTCAGTAGTTTTCATTAAGATTTGTCGACGAGCTTGCTCATAGGTATCATTTAGTCCATCCAAAAATTGCATCACCCTTTGTTGATGCAGATAAACCATGTGTTCCTTAGATCTAGCACAACCACAGTCCGGAAAGGGCACTAGAACATCATATTCAGCCCATAACTCCTTCAACTTAGTAAAATACACAGATACAGAGTCCGATCCTTGTGATAATCTTGAGATCGATCTGTGCAATTGAAAAATACGTACTCGATTCACCTTATCAAAGCGCTCCTTGAGGTCCTTCCAGACTGCATGTGCATCCGATGCGTAGATGATTCCGCTGAGAAAGTCCTTCAAAACAGAGTTCATTATCCAGGAATGTACTATCGCATTACAAGTCTCCCACTCCTCCAGAAGAGCATCCTTGTACATCTCCTTAGCATATTTTCTTGTTACAAACCCTAGCTTCCTTTTGGCCTTGAGAGAAAGTCGCATCGATCTACTCTACAGTCCATAGTTCTCTGAACCTGTGAGCTGAATTGGATTTAGAATCAATCTAGGTGTATCAGAAGGTTGAAGGAAAAGAGGATGCGTATGGTCAATTTTTTCAGTCGCAATTGACGCACAAGCTTAAGATTTCGATCTTCACA